ACACACACACACACACACACACACACACACACACACACATACACACATACACACACACACATATATATATACAAATTGCTGTTGTGTTGCTGCTGAGACCTCTCAATCCAGGCTGAGGTAGTTTGCACCAGTTGTCTCTAACAATCTGTAACAGGATGATCATTGGGGCTCTTGCCCATCATTAACATGCTTCGTGTGTGTGTGTATGTGTGTGTGTGTGTGTGTTTGCAGTTAAGCTTGCACAGGCCAGAGGGGTGAGGGTTCACCTTGCCTACAGATTAGCCCAGGTCAAATGTTGGAACCAGTGGCCGCTTTGCTTTGTCTCCCTGTGGGACAGAAACTGATTAGCCTGCAAAGGTTTGACAGCGACACAGAGGTAAATGATTAAACGGATGTCCTATGGGGTTTGCGGAAATAAATAGATATGCTGGGTTCACAGAATGCTCATGGAGCCTCACTCAGGGCCATTTGACTGACCAGTAAGCTGAGCCAGGATGACTGTGGAAAAGCATCGGTTCACTTGTCCTTGAGCTAAATATTGTCTGTTTTGCCAGACGGGCAGTTGTGTAAACTTTCTGCCACACTCTGCCAGTAGAGGACAGTGTGCTGTCGGCGTGGTTAACTTTCGCTGTGTGGATTTGACACGGCTCATTGCAAAGAATTACATAAAGGTTTCCAAAATCAGGTTAACTGAGAGGAAGGAGAGGGCACTGGGATACGTTTTTGAAACACAAAGTTGTTATCAGTTTTCAAGTAACAAACAAGAGCAAGACGTATTAGGACAAGATGACCTGTCAGACATGTCCCTCAAGATTTAAACTGCGACCAGAATGGGTCTGCACTGACAATTATCTACTTTCTAGTCGTCAGTGAATGTACATGTATGTGAGCTGGAACTACTTTAGAGGGACTGGATTTACAAGTGAACTTGGTGTTGGCAACATTTTCATTGTAAAAGAATGACAGTGCTCTTCTGTGCCTGTTCATTTTTTTTTATTCCACTTCCAAATGGATTCTGGGAGCTGTGTGCCGTTGTCATAACAACAAGGTACCAGCTGGGCAATTTGTATGCAAATGGCATGGGCTTGGCTTGATATCGCTTCCTATACCACAGGACCTGGTTGCCATGGGAATGCCCAACTCCTCCTCCTTGAGAAATTTGGACTTTTTTGAAGCAAAATGTGACACAGACTTCATCTGGCAACCCAATACGTTGACATCATCACTGGTGTTGGGGCCAAAAAAACTGGAGGTGTGAGGAGAAGAGGTGTAAGCTGACGGGGCACGTGCAACTGGATGTTCAAATGGTGTGAAGCAAGGAATTGGTTCCATGCTGCCTGAGTTGGCCTCCAGCAGACAGACACCAAATGCAGAGGCTCAGGTGGTCAGAGAAGGCAGACGGAATTTTGACGTGGTCCAATCTCGCTGCCCTGGGACCTCCTGATCTCACCCCCATCTTCAGCAGAGCCACAGACAGCTTCTGAAAATGAGGCGCTATGAACTTATCAGACTCTCAGTTTTATCAAGGACTTAGCTTAAAAAGGCTTAAAAGTTCACAACTTAGTATTTGAAGACTTGGGATTAGAGGCGGATGGTAAAAATGATAAAGTAAATCATTAAAAAAATCTGGCATTCAGTGAGAACCAAGTTCCTTAATAATTAAGCATGGCCAGGACACTGTCCACTCTATGGATTCTCCCTCATTTTATTAGATTCAGAACTCACCATCATTTGCATGCACACCTACTCTGCCATGAAACAATGGCATTCAATGGGTCAAGTGGCTGGTCACAGATTTCCTCATGGGCATTGATGGTGTGGGCAATTTGGGGGGGAGAAGATCATTTTACTTATGGAGGTGGTTGATCGCAGCAGACAGTCTTGTTTCACACATTGTCACATCATTTAATTCACATATCTGGCTGCCAAAAACAATGCTTGTCACTGGCAAGTGTCATGTACGACTGTAGCAACTCCTGCAAAATATGGGGGTGTCTTTTTTTTTTTTAAAGCAAAGACAAAGTTGAGCACTCGAACCGTCAAAACATGTTAACAAATGATATGTTTTTCCGCCCCCTAAGGATGGTGAGTTACTTGAAAAGAACACTGATATTTGACTCCAGAAATTAGTCATTTATGACAGCTGTAAAAGCTGTAATGCGAGTCACCAACCACAGTTACAATACAACACCTCCGTATTTCATCAGCAACTTTAACTTCACTGGAAATAAAAAGGACCAGAGAGAGGCATCCTAATCCCTTTTTGATTGATGCAGATATGCAGGGGGGGTCCCCCCCCCCCCCCCCCCATCTGTCGCTGTAAGGGAGAGACATTTTGGGACCGTGCGTGTTTGTCTTTCGGGGAGGGAAACGGTATTGCGGCAGTTATAGGAGCACCATCACGCCTTCATCTCTGCCTCAAGGTCACTGCGGAGGAAGGGTGACAGGCTGGACTAGCGCAAGGAGGTGCCAGCCATTTTGAGGGGAGGCTTTGATGAAGCGGGGGGTGGGGGGGAGTGTGCAGCGAGGAGCAATAAGTCATTTTGTCAATGCTTCATGTTATGATGCGTAAGCGAGATTTTTTTCTCCCCCCATTACAAACAGCGTGATAGAGGCAAGCTGAGAGGAGCAAACAGAAATGGATGCCTTTAAGTAGCATTGTGCTGGCCCTTTGAGAGTCATATCTTTGTCTGCAGCACACACTCACTGGGAGGCTGAGCTGGGGAGCAAGAGCGGGCAGGTCCAGAGTTTATTTAGCAGCCTGTCCTCTGGACGCTACAGTCAGGGGGAGTGGAGCAAAATGTAGGCAAACACTCTTAAATTAAGATTCTTTTCATTTTGACCCATTCTCAGTCTCATAATTTTCACAATTCTCTTTTTTTTCTGTTGAGCCCTGATTCCTCCTCTCAATATGACTAAGTGGGATTTAAAACAGTCTGCTTTTCATATAGTCTAACTCCAACATACACTGTGCATGCAGTTCCAGATGTGTAATCATCTATCTGGCTCAGAACTAATTTGTTCAGTCAAGGTTAACTAACATTGCCCAAGTTATCACTTTTTATAACTTCCATTTGATATGTTTGGGTCAGGGTTCTGAAGATTGTGGAACATTTACTCACAATTTGCATCATTTTAACTTGGAAACATTTGCTTGTTTTGATTTGTTACAAAGCTTGTTTGTTTATTTTTTATATTGAGTATATGGTCAAATAAAAGAGAAATAATTATTTGTGTCACTTTTTATATCTAATATTCTTTGCTCACTTCAGACACTCACTGGCAATTCTGACAGATTAGTTTAAAGATTTTTCGTCCAAAGAATGAAGGAAGTCCTCTGAAAGAGGCTTTTTTCATTATGGTAAATGTTTTTGTCTGTTTGAATCATCAGTACTGTTGCTCTAACAGAGAGGGTGCTATGTCTCCATTTACGGCAGCCTGGACTGTGGAAATAGGGGACATGCACTCACATTATCTTTTTTTTTCTTTTGTATCGGTCTCACTCACTCTCTTACACACAAACTGACAAAAAATTCATGTCTCTGCCCAAGCCCAGGTTGGTGCCATCTTGCATCCCTAAGATTGTGTGAGGTGATATGGAGTCCATCATAGAGCCCCCTGCTGAGGTGTGAGAGCTGGTCAAACAGAGGCCGAGACATGGACCTGATACCACCCTCTATCGGCCTACTGATAATGTCCATTTGGGTTCCAGGAATGTCCATTACGGAGTGTAGATCCATCACCTCCATGATGTTCCACACGTCTGCAGGCAAGCTCGCTTTCAAGGTTGTGATGTTCCCATGCACAAAGAATGCTCCCAGGGTGATAGTCCCTGTATCCTCAGATTACAAAGTGTTTGACAGTTGGGATCCAAGAAGTGCAATCAGTCATATCCATAAGAAATCCAATTGATTAACTTTGGTGACTGTAGAGAAGCTACAGGACTTCAACAGATTTTTAAATACGTTTAACATAAAGTTTAACATTTGTTTAACATAAAGGATTTTTAAAGTAGTTTACATTACTTTAAATTGATTATGCCCCGCTGAAATTCCCTCACAAAAACTAAAGCTAAATGTCATAAACATGTCATGTTTTTTATAATTATTCTGTAAGGATACAGGCTGTTAAAAGGAAAACGGTTGCACTGAAAGCACATTCATTAAACATTTTTTGTAATTATATTAAGACTCTCTTAAAGTCCTAATTGTTTTTCTTCTAATATGTTACACCTATGACATACCCTGTTACTACGTCTGCTGCGACATTCCAACTGCAGCTTCTTGTGATGTATTAAAGAAATTCAATTGATAGTGTTTAGTGGTTAGTTGAATCAAATAACCTGTTAAGGTCTTTAATATACTTTTCATCTTAAAATCAAAGGTAACCTAAAAAAAAAAAAGTCTCTGTCTGACACATCAAATCTTCCAGAACATGCCAGAAAAAAAAAAATTGACTACCTTTTGATTTCCCACTCCATCAGTGGTCCATTTCCCCCCTGTTGGTCAATCACACTGACTCCTCTGTGGGGAGGCCGAAGCCATTAAGCGGCCAACACTCTCTGCTGCGTCTCCCTGTTTAATTGCCTGATAGGGCCTCTGATATTTTTATCGGCTGTCCTGCGGTGGATGGCTGCCAAAAGGGGAGACGCCTGAGCACGTGTGCGCGTGTGTGTGTGTTTGTGTGTCTTTACATGTCACGCCTCGGTACACCTCTGACAAGAAAGCTGCCTGCTCGCTGTGCTTCTGTGCACCTGCATATCAATTTATGTGACCCAGCCTCTCAGGCGTGACAT